TTGCGTTGCAGTGGCTTGCGTCGCCCTTCGAGGAAACAGTGGGCCTAGACGTCCGCTGGCTTTCCGGGCCAGACGGTAACTTTCAAATCTCCATCTTGGATGACCTTCACTATGGAGAGGGTGAGCAAGCTTTAACACCGATCGCAGACCGCACTCTGACAATATCCAGCGGCCAGCTCGTACGGATCAGTCCAGGACGCTCTCACAACGAAGACGATCGCCAACCTCCTTGCAGATGAGCCTCAGACCGACTTCGTCATCATCAATGGCGACCTCATCTCCCGCGACAACATCTTTCTCGAGAACACAACCCACTACATCGACCAGCTCGTCGAGCCTATCCTCGACCGCAACTTAACGTGGGCCACCCTTCATGGCAACCATGACCCCGGCTACAACCGCTCTGTGGAGGCCATGCTCGCCCGTGAACAGCGCTGGCCCAATTCCCGCACCCGCTCAATGGTGCCTGACCCCCAGCGCGTCGGCGTCACCAACTATTACCTCCCCATCTACCCAGTGGACTGTCCCACGGGCTGCGGCTGCGCCCCCGCACTTCTACTGTGGTTCTTCGATTCGCGAAGCGGCTTTGAGTACCAGAAGCTCGGGCCTGATGGGAAGAGGATCGCGCGCCCCAATTGGGTTGACACCAATGTGGTTGACTGGTTCCTCGCCGAGAACCAACGCATCGTCACGAGATTCAACAAGACCATCCCCTCCCTGAGTTTCGTCCATATTCCCTTCGACGCCTTTTCTGCTGTGCAGTCCGGTCCAGGAATCGACCCGCAGCGACAGCCGGGGATCAACGACATGGTTGTCACAGGCCAGGCGATCGGCTACTGTCCCGACGGCGTCAATAACGGCACCTGCGCGTACGGCGGACAGGACATACCCTTCATGAAGGCAGTCACGTCGACGCCGGGCATGCTGGGCCTCTTCACTGCGCACCAACACGGTGACTCGTGGTGTTACAAGTGGACGGCGGACGCGCTTCCGGACTACCCCGTGCAGCCCAGAGGTGACGGGCTCAACATCTGCTTCGGCCAGCGGACGGGTTACGGCGGCAACGGCAACTGGGAGCGCGGGTCGCGGCAGTTGCGCTGCGGCAGAACCAGTTGGCTCTGGGCGAGCTCGAGACATGGATCCGGCTCGAGTCTGGAGAGGTCGTTGGTGCCGTTTCGTTGAATGGGACGTATGGCCAGGATATTTATCCTGTGTCGCCCAACCGCGAGACGTTCTGTAAGGAATGTAACAAGTGATTTCTTACATTGATACGTGATTTTTAGCTAGGCCACTTGAGGAGTGATAGCAAAGGAA